GTGAGGTTACCTGAGGCCCAATTACCTCCCTCCCTAGTCTACCGAATCCCCGTATCCTCCACAATCCTCAAATTCCCAATTCCCAAAAGGCCGGTAACGCACTTGTAACACCTTGGTGTTTCGGGTGTCCATGGGCGCAATGTCTAATTGCTCACCATCAGGTGTTCGTCTGCTGGTTTACCGGCTTATGCTATAAAAAAACAAGAAACCGTGAACATAATTCATACTACTTAAGCACTTACTTCAAAGATTTCGCATGGGTAGTGGTTATAATATATTTCATGAATGGAAACACCTTTTATTAAATATTCAACCTGAATCTCTATTTTTTGCTTTGAATCGTTTAATCTGGAGCAATTGTGGTGTATGAATAAAATATTAGTTTGCGGTAGCACGCGACACGCGACTATTGGCCCTGAGTGTCGTAACGAGTGCGTGGCGTCACGTCGCGTCGCCGTCACGCAGTCGCAGATATTGGTGAACGGGTCGCGTGCCGGCGCGCGGCGGCCGCCACCACTGCCCTTCACAACGATCCGCTACATATCGTGATTGTTTCGCGCTAATGAATGAACGTAGTATTGTTGAATGATTAACTAATTGCAATTCTAATGAAATCTATTATCGATCAAAATAACTCGTGTTACCGCGATCAGTGTCTGGATAATTGTTGGCACCGATGTACTGATGTGGATGTTTGCGAACGTAACACATATGTGTGTAGTTGTACGATACGAGCGTAAAGAGCCCATCGAACTGTGCGCGGCGGTGTCAACGTTCCAGTGGAACAGCTCGAGATGTCGCGTTCCGAGCATACAGCGCACATAAATCAGGTGTGTTGTCCACAAATACCCTGCGCTTGCGTCGTTCGCTCTCATTCGGTCACACTCGGCTATATTCGGAGATCGTAGTGGACGCCACACTAATCGCTGACCGCTACGATTACGTCTGTGCGCGCGCGGTGCGACTACGAGTCGTGTCCTTATTGCATTGCTATGCTCGCATTCCTCAACTGTTTGATTCATTATTCAAATCGAACACAAACACCATATAAACTTGCACCAGAATTGTTTGACAAACAAATAATATTCCTCATTAAAATTCTTTGCTAAGATATTTGGTCAAGTAAATAAACAGGTCTGTACTAACACTCATAATTTATTCTTAGTAGGATGTAAATGTAATAAAGCAAATTGTCCTTCGTAGCTTTTTGAAGTTATTTCAAATAGAGAAATAAATAAAATATGAATAACAAACATTGTCGAACTGAAGACTGGTAAAACATAGAAGTTGCTCCAAGACACGTCACGCGTGACCGACAATATGAAACGACATTGACGTGACAGCATCAGCGCAGCGTGCCGTGTACACTACGCACAGTGTGCCGCACTATGTTATTATAGTTCGAGGTTAAATGCCGGTGACGGGTGTAGCGGTAGCTAAGTGATACCACTCCGCAGGCCCGACAGAGCGCGGCAGAACCTAAAGGAGGCCATACACGCTAGGTTTTGCATGATGGTTATTACTTTGCAAGCAAAACCGACAAGCATAACCGAGTTTCATACCACACATACACGTTAGGTTTTCCATGCACCATCTTGCCACGAACTCTCAGTTGAGTGAGCTACGTAGTACGTGACGGTGGGTGTAGGACGCCAATATCAAACTACTGAGAAAATAAAAACTGAGAACTGTGGCAGGCAAGCTCGCTGGACGCCACACACGCTCGGTTATGCTCGCGCGCAAACATAACCGAGTGGCATAAAATATGAATTTTCATATTACATATACATGCACGGATAACTGTACAGTTTAATCACATAGGCTAGGGCTTGCCTGTCGGTTATGCATGCACGGCTAAAACCATCATGCAAAACCTAGCGTGAATGGCCACCTTTAAGCTGTGACACTGCTGATGATTCTTGTACTTACAATGTAACATGGGGACTACGATCAATATATAGCGCCAACTCCAAATACAGAAATTTTCCGTATTCCATACACTATCTTGAAGACCACATCCTTACATATTACTACAATTAAGTACATTATCAAGTCCAACTCGTTGTGCTCAGTGTACGTAATGTACGTGTTCAACGAGATGGAACATACACACTCCCTGCAGATGCGACCGTGACACATGTAGTCAAACCTGGACCCCGACCCATTTGGAGAGAGGTCACAGCAGCCGAGTGGGGCGGCCGGCCCTGGAGCACAGCCTGTGCACTGTACAGCCCCTACATGGTAATGATGACGAAGTGTTATTGCATGCTAATTATGACAAGTGAGGGTGGTGCGGTGTGTACTACTCCTGTTCCGTAGCAGAAACATGGCGCGTTTATTACAACAATTCATTATTTATTTAACTGTTACGTAATGGTGTAAGACGATAGTCCATCACGGTATTGTTATTTATTTATTTATTTATTTATTTAAGCTTTAATGTACACAGAATCAAGTAATGGTACATAAGGCGGACATTAATGCCATATGGCATTCTCTCCCAGTCAACCTTAGGGTTAAATTGAAAAACGGCGAAAAAATAGGCATGTGTAATTATAAGAAACAAATAACATAAATAGACTTTAATAAATATAGATAGGTACAAAAAATATTTAAAATGTACACTACAATATAAATACAACATAAATATATAGGTATATATATGCATGCTCATATATATATATATATATATATATACTAAATAAATAAATTCTATAATAATACATATATAATAATAATAGACCTAGACTCAGCGTTGTAGTGACTTTAAAAAGAAATCGTGAACATCGCGTTTGAAAGTGATCTTATTTGGAGCCTTTTTTATGTTAAGCGGTAGTGCGTTCCATAACTTAATTACACTAACTGTGAAAGAGTTAGAAATGAAGGATGTTCGGTGGGACGGAATCTCAAGAAGCAGATTTTCAGCAGAACGGAGATTACGGCTGTGAGAACTGCCCAGAACCTGGAAGCAAGACTTTAGGTATTCAGGAGCACAAGGATCATTCAGAATAGCGAAAAGCATGCAGAGGGATCTAAGAGATCTTCTCTCACGGATAGGAAGCCATTTTAGCTGATCGCGAAAAGAAGAAATGTGGTCGTATTTACGAAGACCGAAGATAAAACGGATACAGTTATTGAGCATTCGATCCAATTTGTTCAGAAGGTCTTGGGATAGGTCAGAGTAACAAACATCAGCATAATCGATAACAGGAAGCACAAGGGACCGGACCAGTAGCTGTTTTGTATTTGGGGGCAGAAAGTTTTATTGCTTGGTCAAAGACACTCATGTCCTCGCAACATAGTTTCTCATTGACATTTATTCAGTTCAATGCAACTTATGTAAACTTATAATTATGCTACAACATACATTGGAATACTACTAATGAGACAGTAACACGAGTCAGTACCACGACGCGAAGGTTCAACCTTCATTAATGAATTTTTTGATGAGTGTAACGAAATACTGCGCTAGTGGAATACACTACGCCCTCATTTGTTTTAGTATTACTTGGAATCCTAAATTATTCAAGCAGTTGTATGTACTTTTTATACATTTATTGCTTAATGTATTGCCGCTACGCAGATGTTGGGCTGGGTAACTCCCGTGAGGCGACATCCGGGCTTCGGTGCGGGACGGTATTATTGAATACCTCCATAGCTGAAAGAAAGTGAAATAACAATTCTTCACTCCAGCAGCCTTGACCTAGTTCATCGTCTAAAATGTTGATCTACATTCAAGGCTCCTTCCGAGATGGTGCGGATATTAAGTTAATTAATTATTGTCTGGCCGGCAATAGGCACATCCTGTTTATTGGGTCCGACAAACGGGAGTAGAACAAATCAGAATAAAAAAATACATCCATATATTAATTTTGTTTTTATAACTATCGTAAGAGATATCAAATTAACTAAAAATCGCGGGTTACTCATGAGTGCGGCGATATGTGTAGGCTGCGCGACATCGCCCGCTGGTCATGATGTAGCACCCCTCTGTGGTTCGAAATTAGTAGAGCTTTTCCCAGTATATTGACGTGAGTAACCCGCCATTTTTAGTTAATTTAAAACAGTTGAATTGTACAGTTGTAACTGAAGGTGTGCAGGCTGTAGGTGAGTGGCACGCTGTGACGCTGCACGCATAAGAAACTACGGATTACAAAAACAACCGATTTTCATAAAATGTTTGATTGAGTTTTAGTGTTTTAATTAACTATCAATGTAGTGCGTGCTAGTGATAGAGGGGTGATCGACCGCGCATCTTGCTGAACGTGATGATTTATGCTATCTCGAGAATGTTGGTCACGAATAGGGCCGCAGACTGACGGTGATAGGCCACGCCGCGCCGCCAGTACCAAGCGATGTCACATGATATTCGGTTCTCACGTCAAGTGATTCTTATCTTGTATAACTAGATAGCTAGAGGGAGCTCCTATGACCAATCACTCACCACTAGTATCAGCGCTGATAACGAGTGATACAGAGCAGACAAACGTAGCGACATGATTGCATAGGCTTACTGTAGAATATTCATTTATTTTAATTTGTGTTTTTTATGAAGCTAAAAAATACCACAATGCAGGGAATATTTAGTATACGTACTTAGGTATATTTATCAAAGTTCAGAACATTATCATTGATTGATAGTGCAATCCTTTCCGCATCATTTGTGTATTATTAGATCATTATCTTAATCGAAGTGCAAAATATTCACTTTTATCATAAATCAAACCTAGAAACGTGTTTATGTACTAACAATACATTATAATAACAGGATAATAGATTAGATAGCGCGGCACATCGCTCCGCACTGTGAGGCGGCCCAGTGATAGCTGGTAGTGCAGGACTGGCGGCCGCCGAGCGGGGACAGGTGACACCACGAGTACGTGTTTCATCTGTGGGACAATATACTTACGAAGTGGTACACTGCAAGTGTGGCCAGTGTCATTTCGGGCAATAAAGTGAATTACACGAAGCAAGTTCATATACACGGGATACAGCGTAGCATGCAGTGCAGTACTCTGTCGGTGGTGTGTGTGGCGGCGCTGGTGGTGTCGCTGGCGCAGCTCGGCGCGGGCGGCGCGGTGCTGGTGGTGTTCCCGGTGCCCAGCCGCAGCCACACGCTGCTCGGAGACCACCTCGTCACCACTTTGCTGCACGCTGGGCACAACGTAACTAATATTTCTACCTCTACTTTTACATTCTACACACCTACTCATTTCTGTACATGTAGTGGAGAGCGCCTTATTACCACTGTACGATGGTACCTACTTTGATTACATTTTACAATTTGAACTAAACTGAAAGAAACATGACTGCCCCTATGTGAGATCTCATGTGTTTTTCATATTTCGATTTACTTTTAATCACAATAATCGAGACTTTAATCTCCATAAAAGCTTTTTACAGATGCTTGTAACATGCAGATTGATTCCCTGTCCTGTATACACACATTACATATGCTAGGTGTCCGTCTGTCTGTCGCAGGTGACATACGTAACAACGTTCACGAGAGTGAAGGCGAGCGACCGCTTCACTCTGATTGATATCGGCTCCGCTGCGGACGACGAGGAAGGTTCGTTGTATCTACAACACCATACTTTACCATATTATAGGTACCAGTTAGTGTTTGACGTCGCTAATATGATATGTGTTTAGAGTCGAGTGGTACGCTCCGCCTCGAGCCGAGCTCGTCCCGTCTCCCGTCCCACCAGTTCCTGGCAGACGGCACCAGCATCGCTGAGGGAGCGCTGCGTCACCGTCGGGTGCAGGCGCTGCTGAAGGACGTCACGCAAAGTTTCGACCTGGTAGTGGCCGAGTGGTACTACTCTGGACTGTTGGCTCCGTAAGTCATTTGCCGTTTGGAACCATAATGAGGATAATTATAACAATATTATATATATTCTTATAGTTAGAGTTACATTCTACGACAATACAAAAATGTGGGCAAACAAAGAAATTCTAGACAATGTGATTATTTGTACAAGATATTTGCGCTAGTTAGAAGGAACACGAGATTCGAGATGTGTTTTTCAATAATAAAATGATAAAGAATACCACAATAATGAGTGTACTACTTGAAAAAATAAATAAGCATAGAGTAATGAGTTCCAATATCGGCAGACTGAGATTATAAGCGAACAATACTCGCAAACAAAAACTTTTGTCATATCGTCGATAAGCTCTTTGAATGCAGAAATGTTAATCTTCGTCGAGGACGGCCGACAATAGATTAGGGAGAGCTCTCGATCATACTGACGTTATGTTGTGATCTTACCTGCTACTAATCAAATACCTAGTATTTTATTCCCCAAAAGTATAAATAGAAAATAAAAAGGTATTTAAATAAAAAATTTATTTACTTAGTTTTCATGGTTTATATTATATTGTACCTATATGGTACTTACTATGTTTAGTTTCTTAAAATCGTTTATGGACTGCTTAAATACATTTAACGTTCCTTATGCAAGCCAGCTTAGAAGTGAATTAATAAAAAATACTAGATACTTACGAAAACCATATTGATAAAAGTCCACTACTTCTTACTTAGTTTTCATGGTTTATATTATATTGTACCTATATGGTACTTACTATATTTTTGTCCATATACGATTACGTGTACGAATTAAGTGTGGGAGAGCCATGCTTCGGCACGAATGGGCCGGCTCGACCGGAGTGATACCATGGCCGAATGGCATGGCAGAAAACAGACTTGTTTCGTCGTGTGAGTGAGGTTACCAGAGGCCCAATAACCCCCTTCCCTAGTCTCCCCAATCCCCGACTCCACCACATTCCTCAAATTCCTAATTCGCAAAAGGCCGGTAAGGCACTTGTAACGCCTCTGGTGTTTCGGGTGTCCATGGGCGACGCCGATTGCTTACCATCAGGTGATCCGTCTGCCCGTTTACCGGCTTATCCCATAAAAAAATACGACTATATGCATTAGGGAGAACATAGAGTCTATCATACTTTAGTCTATAGCCATGTACAGGGCGTACATGTTGGAAACTAAGTAGGTAGTGAGCTCGTAACCAACTAATATGTCACTAACCAGACAATGAAAGACTAAGTTATATGTTTAATAAGTCCGCATACAGCACTGAATAAACACTTGTAGGCTGGCTGCGGTGTTCGAATGTCCCCTGGTGTGGTACAGCGCGGGGGACGCGTCGTGGCTGAGCGTGCAGCTGGTGCATGAGCCCAGCAGCGCCACCTACTTCGTGGATCCGATGTCCACCAGCCTGCCGCGGCTTCCGCCTGGCGTGCCCGACCGCCTGCGCCGCCTCGCCAGGCAGGCCTACCTCTCCGCATGGGTATAGTGGGTGTACATTTTGCGCATGTTCTATTAACACTAGCTATTATGTTTTGTGGCTATACATCACAGTTCAATCGCAACACAACGTCACTCTGACGTACCTATTGTACTAATAAAAATGTGTTTTGGTGGAGTTAGTAGAGCGTCCTTTGTGCTTCCATTGGCATTGTGCAAGTGTTGACATGTGATTGTATCTCACATCTCATCAAATTATAAGAAATGCATCGAGCTCGTTGGTCGAGCGCCGCACAGAGCACCGACCTGACGCTGTAATTGGTTGCGAGTGCGCAGTCTCGTGACATTTCAATTATTTTTAATTGTGCCGTGATATGCATGCATACATAGGTATACATGCAAGTTTGTATGGTATACCATACAAACTTGCCATACACCTACATACATATGGTATACCATACAGAACGAGCAGAATGGATCACCTGATGGTAAGAAATTGACGTTGCCCATGGCCACCCACAACACCAGAAGAGGTAAACGTGCGCTTTATACGTATCTTTCGAGACTTTACCGCTCGATAAAGGTATGAGCCAGTGTGAACGTAATGTATGAAATAACGCTTACTTCCCCAGCTATATGACCCACTACGTAGAGACTCCCGCGTACTACGAGATCTATCAGCTGGCCATACAGCTGCGCGGGCGCACGCCACCGCTGTACGAGGCGCTACTGTACGATGGCGCTTTACTGTTGGTCAACTCGCACCCAGCGCTGGGACAGGGCGTGCCACTGCCAAACAATGCCAAGTACATCGGGGGCCACCACCTCACGGCCACTAACACCACCCTCCCCAAGGTACACACCTCTCGACTGAGTACTTCTAGTAGTCACAGTTACATGTAAGCTGACTAGCAACAGGTGGAGTTTTACTGCGCGGAACACTTCCTACACGAGTCGAGTGAAGCCGTACTTAAGTGAGCCATTTGTAAATAAGTGGGATGATTGACACCTCCCTCGCCAGGCTCGTCACTTCGAGCTATTGTGCTCACAAAGCAGAATGTCATTTACTTCAGTGGCTTGGTGTTTAGTTCTCGGCCACAATAAATAAGATAAATTGAATTGATCTGATAGCCCATGAGCTCATTTTGTTACTAAAGCTCGACCATTTTATGGTTCAGTGAGGCACTACGGTAACACCATCGTAAACTTATATTGCTGACGTTTAAACCAGACACGAGTTAACTTCTATTTTAGACCGAAGTCAATTGAAATGTTCTTGCGGAAAAGATAAACTTTAAAGTGGGCTTGTGGAATATTTCGAGCTTCGCCGCCGTAAATATGATCATGTCTAGTCTGTTTATTATCTCTACCAGTATTCGCAGCTAACATGCCTCGCCTGCTCAGTCCTGCAGTCTATCTCCTATCCACTTATATTTATTACTAAGAACGAATCTACGACAATTAGGAAAACATTAGATTGGAGTGCGAGGTCTGAAGTAGCGGCGCGCGCCGCTGGGACATTATACAGTATTCATAGAAGCAGCGAATGTAAATAAAAGGTATTCGCTTCATTTACTCGTTGTTTATGTAAGAGTCGCTTGAACGGAACCCGTGAATATTCATGACAACTTTATAAACATCATTCGTTACTGCACCTACCTTCGCATGATATTTGTAATACTGTAACGTGCACTACTATAAATGTATGTATAAATATAAGTTTCAAGTCATGCGAAACTTCCTACATACATATGTGGTTTGCATAAAAAGGTTGGAGTCAGGACCATAACATAAGCACCGAGGTACATGCAACGCCCGCTGCATAATTTACAGCATTATGGCACAGGTATTGGTAAGAAACAGATTCGAGCCCGGCCGTGTGTGTACACTCTACACACTCATAGTACTATGAAGAGAGTACTACTCGTAGTAAACTGTTGCGTCCCCACTTGTCTCCGATGAATTCAATTTGATAGGTCATTTTGACATTTCGTCCACTTTCGGACGGCTGGTGAACCCAACGTAAAAGCAGGTTAATGGGGTCAAAATGGTCTTGTCTTTTGGTAAAAGGCGTCGCAAAATTAGAACTCTCTGAGTTCACCTATTTGTTACAAGGCAATAAATGTGTCACACAGAATCTTCAAACTCTGCTGGACAATGCTAAGCATGGAGTAATCTACTTCAACCTGGGTGGCACAGTAAGCGAAGAGCTGCCGCTGGAGGTGAAGCGCGAGCTGATGCGAGTGTTCCGGCAGCTGGAGCAGCTGGTGGTGTGGCGCCACCGCGGTGCCAGCGGGCTGCAGCACGCGCCGGGGAACGTGCACCTCGTCGAGCGCGCGCCACACCTCGCGCTGCTCAGTATGTGCTGCACACACACTACACACACTGTACTGCCCTCATGATTCAGACGGCAAAAATATACGTAATTTAATTCTAGAACATCCGAACACCATCATGATGATCACACATGGCGGGTTCCTGTCATACATGGAGGCGATGTACTACGGCGTACCCATCATCGGCATGCCGGTGCAGGAAGACCAGCTCCTCACTATAGACATAGCAGCGAGCAGGGGACGAGCCATTAAGGTGCACTTGTCTCATGCCGGGATAGGGTACAAGCTCAACGAAGCTATCTTCGAAATACTTGGCAACTACAGGTACGTGAGAAACAGATGTAGAAGGATACAGGCTAACTGTTCAATATCGTCTAATAAAAATGACTAGCGAATTTTTATATCAAATTAAATATATTTGTAGCACGTTAATACAATGACTAGTCGTATTTACATGAAACTTTATCTGTGTTGTGTTGTTTACGGGTACGGGTACGGTACGGGTGGGAGCTCCACTCAGTTATCTAATGGATTCCACTACTCGCCGCTCTATTTCTGACATGTTGGCGACACTTCTTCGGTTGCCTGCTTCATTATTTACTGTTCTCCAGAGGACTGTGTTTTCTTGTTTTTCATGTCGTCCATCAATCTTAGTGGAGATTATGAGGGCCATTTAGCGGATACGAGGTAATACAGTGTCATAATTTATGAGCACTCCGTTTTATTCTCTGGATAAAATAAATGAACTGGCGCGAAAAATAACCGCCGACGTTTGAAAGTTGGTTCTTAATTTAGATGCGACTGGAAACTGCGTAAGCGATATATATTTCACGAGAAACATATCAAACATGCAGCATGTTTCTAAACGTTTACCCACTGGCTCACAAACTTTTACGATTTCAAAATCCGACGTTGGATTAGCAGAAATAATTAATCTTGATCCGAGTGATGAATAAAGTAAGAGGCCGCAATCTCTCCCTTATCTTGAACCTTTAATCTTGAACTTGATTAATGAGCGCTCCACTCGCTCGCTCACCTTATTCTCCAGCTTAATGAGGATATCTACTATCTATCCTAACGCGCCAACTGTACATTGTAAATATATAAGACGACTTCCACGGTAACATTACGTTTCTTATGTTATGTACGGGGTCGTCAATATAGTGTGTCCCCTAACTACTCGCGTCCTTATCGTCAATTAGACATTCATGTCAATTCGTATGTACAATCGACTTTGCAAACTAAGCGTATTTTCTTTCAAACCTTGATATACGTACGTCCGTCTGTCATGTCTACACAGTGAAGTATCCATTCCAAGTCTTCGTTATACCTCATCAAAAGAGTTTAGAACATGCACACATTTTGAAAATACGTAGGTCACTACAAAAGTTTTGTCGTATGACAAATAGTTAATAGTTATAATTCAACTGAGGGTAGATTCTAATACATCAACTAATGTCTAAGTTTCGTTGGAGTAACTAGCTTAGTATTTTTTTAGTGAATTTTTTAACAATTGGATATGTCAGATTTAAATCGTCGTGACGTTCGGGTGATAATTTTGTATAACTTTAAGCGTGGATTATCAAAACAACAATGCTTCGAAGAAATGAGTGGTGTGTTGGGTGATAATTGTCCATCCCTTAGGACTATAGAAAGATGGTTTTTACAATTCAATCGCGGCAATTTTAATTTAGAAGACGATTCAAGACCGGGCAGGCCGATTGACGCAACCACTGATAAGAATATTGTGGCTGTGCGAAAAGTGATTGAAGGAGATCGCCATGTAACATACCGTCAGATCGAGGAAACACTCAATTTAAGTGCACCAACTATTCATCGAATTCTTCATGAAAACTTAGGAGTACGAAAGCTTTGTTCACTTTGGGTACCACATTTGCTAACTGATGCGATTAGGGAACAGCGCGTCAAATGGTGTAAAGAAATGTTAAAAAAATTCAATGACGGCAAATCTAACTATGTGAATTCAATTATCACTGGTGACGAAACCTGGCTGTATTATTTCGACGTTCCAACTAAATCCCAGAGTAAAGTGTGGGTGTTTGAAGACGAAGATCCTCCGACGTCCGTTAAAATGTCCCGGTCAGTCAAAAAAAGAATGGTAGCCGTATTTTTCTCCAGAAGAGGTATTTTATCAATAATTGTGCTTGATAAACAGAAGACTGTGACAGCTGCCTGGTACACTGAAAAATGTTTACCTCAAGTTTTAGAATCTTTGAAAAATGAACGTCCAAACTCAAGACTCGACACTTGGTTCTTGCATCATGATAACGCTCCCGCGCATCGAGCCGGCAAAACTGTGGACTATCTGAGTCAAACTGGGATCAAATTACTGGGACACCCTCCTTATAGCCCAGACTTAGCACCGTGTGATTTTGGCCTGTTCCCATATGTAAAAAAGCAACTAAAAGGCTGCAAGTTTACTAATGATGACCAACTTTTAGGTGCTTTTGAGGAGATATGCAGCAGTGTGCAGGAAGGATTCTGGAGCGACATCTTTGATACGTGGTTTGCACGTATGAAGACCTGCCTAAGTGCCAATGGAGAATACTTCGAAAAAAAATAATATTTCACGGAGTACGACAAAACTTTTGTAGTGACCTACGATACATATTTTTATTAGGTACAGTTAATTCGTAACTAAAAGACAATATGTTAAAAGCACCCTCAATCGACGAGCATACACATGTGTAGAGATTGATGAATGTAAAGAAAGGGAAATAGGTTTTAGTAAATACATATTAGTTTAAGTTCCATTGCCTTTACCTACCGCAATCGTAGACAGGTGAGACGATATGTATGTAATTATGTTATCTATTGCCGTGATGATAAGGATTATAGCGATGTATGTAGTTTGTTTAATATTATAGTACGGCCTGGTAAAAGAAGGGAAAGCTTTATTGTTTTATTAGTTTTAAACAACTTACCGTCAAAATAGATAACGATTCAAGTTTGTCGAATGTATGTACATGTACGTGGAATAACTGATGCTGACACAGTGATTAGTTTGGTAATAATTTAGACATGGCACTTTCAGCTATCGCAGCAACGCAAAGGAGGCGTCGGCGCTGCTGCGGGACAGGCTGGTGCCGGCCAGCCAGGAGTTGCTGTACTGGGTGGAGCTGGCGATGAGGACCGGCGGAGCGCCGGCGCTGCGCTCCCCCGCGCTGCAGCTCAGCACCATGGAGCGCTACCACCTGGACGTGGCCGCCGTGCTACTCATGCTCGCCTGGTTCTTGTCCAAGGTGGCCAAGGTCATCAAAGTTTACTGGGACGACTTCGGGACAGACACTCAATATTTTGAAGACAAGAAAAACGAATAAATTTGTATATTATATTTATTACCAAAACATGTTTCATTGGCATACCTACAATTTATGTATTAATATATTTACACCGGGGGTATTTACACATTCATAGAAATTGATGTCGTGATACTGAAATAGTTTATTGTTGTGGTTTCTCACACTCACAGTGATTACTATCTTTCATTATAGCACCTTCTATTACTGGGAAAATCTAGTACCTATTTTGTGGATTCGTCACATATAAAAAAGAAATTTGCTCTGACAGTAGCAAAATAGTTCGCAATCAATACGTGACGTGCAGTTATTATAAGCAGGAGGATAAACAAACAATAAAAGTTAGCAGCGCCGCGCCGCGCGCCGGGTCCCGTGGGAGCGCTGTGCGTTACCCCCTGCATGCGGACGGCGCGCGGCGACGGCGCGCGAATAACTTAAGGGAGCCATTGTCATGCATATTGCATTACTATTTATACGTTACTCGGCCTGTTAAGTATCTCACACACTCGCTGCCTGATCGGCTCTCGCCTATTAATAAGCTTTGTGTATAAATGTGACACTAGTGATGCATGCACGCAAGTAATTGATCGATGTTCACTGAGATTTCTGCCTATCCCTACCCCTATCCCTACATCTAATATTGCGAATTTGCGTGTCACAATATGACAGTCAGCTGTATCTTCCTCTCAAAAATCTACGATGTCGTAGGTACTCAGGTACCTATATATTTAATCACACGACTCGCTAGTTCTGACGACGCGACGCTGGATATTCAGAATATTAAGAACTTTGTAGTGTCAGACTTTGACAGACTTTGTAGAGTCAGAATACAAAGTTCTTAAATGTCCTTAATTCTATAAATGTGAACTGTAATAAGTGTAGAACACACACTACACATATTGTATGTACCTGCGTGTAGTCACTCTCCAGGATTACAGTAGTGTCGTGGTCAGACCCTACCTCACTGAGCTGAATAATTAAACAAACAGCAGAATCTATTCCCGTAGGATTTCAGTTACGTTGCCTGTGCGTGTGGTAGTGAGATTGTCCAAGTCTTTAGGTTGTCACGTGCACGTATACAACGTCCTGGACCTTTTATAAATGTTAGAGTAATTTTTCAACAAATTACCTTCGTATGTATTGAAATGTCGCCCGGGTGTCATCACTGCGAGGACCGCCCTGAGGACACGGTGGAACACACAGTGGGAGAATGCCCTGCGTGGGCTGAGCACCGCCGTGCCCTCAAGGAAGTGATCGGCGATGGCGACCTCTCGCGTCCGGGCCTAGTGCAGGCCATGATGCGGAGCGAGGGGGATTGGGATGCCGTCTCCTCCTTTTGCGAAGCAGTCATGCTAGCTAAGGAGGAGGCGGGACGCGTGAGGCAGCGAAGCGCTGCCTCCTCGCAACCCAGCCATCGCGAAGGACACACCGGGCGTCGGGGATCGCGAGACGATCTCCGGCCACCGTAAGCGCGGGCCTGCGGACGGCGAGCATGGGTGGCTCCCCGTCCGACCAGAAACAGACCCGAGCGTACGGCGCGTCGCGTTCCGCGCGCGCCTCAAAGAGCCATCAGACCACCACAGATGGGGCCCAATAGGGCCGATGCCGATTCGGAGTCGCGGAGAACCTAACGGGTAACCGGGGCTCCGGCTCGACGTGCAGGAGAAGGAACGGGGTGGTTATTAGTCAGTAAGAGTCTGTCACTCCCTTCCGCCTCACCCAGGCGGGAGCAGACATTCGATGATTTTCCCCCTTAAAAAAAAAAAAAAAATGTATTGAAATGTATAACGAAAACATTTAACAGAGTTGCAGTTTTTAGCTGATCTTTGTGGTAAATATTTACAATAACAAGTATTTAATGTTGCTAGTGTGTGCTGAAATAACTACTTGGCACGGTTTGAATGAATGAATTAACTTTGTTGCAGAACGTACAGAGTAAATAAATAAACGAAGATATTTGTGGAATACTTTACGATATCATTATAACAATATTAGAATTACAACCAGCACCAGACTGCGCCGCGTGCACTGCGTGCAAGGACAGCTGACCTGATCTTCTCAATAACGATCCCTGATCACATTGTTGACTGACGTCCACTAGTTGTGTACATTGCACTTAGCTGCAGTGTACACAGTGGAGATGAGTTGCAACGGCGGCGGCTCAGTGTTATTAGTGGTAGGGTAGTGACCACGGTTATAGCTGAGTCGTCGCGTGTGCGAACTGTGAGTGTGTAGGAACCTAAGTGTAAGTATTGTATTGAGTGTAGTATGTTCCCCAGAGATCGTAGGTTGCTTGCTGCTCTCCTTGATCCTGCTGTGCTGCTAGTCCTTTCCAGTCAACATCACATGCCCTGTAACTCAGGTAACACTGAGGTACGTGTTGTTAGGTGCGGGGTGCGGGTGGCAGTGCGGCGGGAGGGGGGGGGAGCAAATTGTTGCCAACTCTCGTGTCTACTTTAATGTAATTTGTTAAAATAATAAGCTCCTCGTCAAAGGAGGCATGTCTTTGTGGTTTTCTTTTGAAACTGAGGCAAAGTGGCTGACGTGCGTACTTCATCTAATATTTCATCATTTCAGTTATTTTCAGCAATGATAACGACGGTAATACATTTTCAACATTATACAAAAGCTGATGACGGACTATGCCTGCAACCACCGGACTGGGTGTCGGCCCAGACCACAACTGACTTGAAGTACTGAAGGGACAGCTGATGTGGTAGATGTAGTATCACGGTGTGCGCCCAGTGCGCAGCGTCGTGTACTCGTGTGCTAAATACGAATGCGAGTGAAATATTTCGCCGTCTGTTTACCCACAGAACTAATATAATGACATGGAAGTGAACGACCGCGACCACATCACTGCACGTGTTGTCCTTCAAAGTGAATGCGATTAATGATACTTGATTGCCTTCACAATGCGATACTCTGTCGAATATCATCCACACAACACGCGACTTTAGCCTACAGCAATAAGAGTTAAAGTCGTGATCAAGAAAACGATAAGGGTAGCATTTAAGTATCGAAATAAATTGTAATTGATTCATGACGATACACTGGCCGGCAGTCTGACGGTCACGGCTGCCGGTCGCCGGCCGAGTGTTGTGCTACTCATACAACTAGAAGAACCGCCATTCACGTAATTGGACACAACAACTTGAGCCAAGAACATTGATTGCTTAATTCAGACTCGAAAGTAAGTATTATTGAAAAACAGGCAGTCGACCAAGAACAAGCCACTTCCGCAACTCAACAGCGATGTAAAGTCAGAGAGCTCGTCCCAGGCTCGCAGCCCGCAGCCGGCAGCCGGCCTACATTATGTGCGGCCTTCAAGTTGTTGGAATGAAAGTTATACAACATATAGACACGCACATTGTTGTTGTATCGATATTCGGTACTTCTCTGTACGTGTAAGTGCTCCGGCGGCAGTACTCGCGAAACTTGCTTACGAACGAAATATAAAATTCATGAGCCACCTACACGTACTTATACAGCACACGTACACTGTACTACCTCCACATTACGTACACACTCTGTTCCTGACATCTCGTACGATGTCAATCTGGGAACACCACAACTGCTGTTTTGTTTTTGAGTTCTGAGAAATGATTTATTCATTCGTGATCTTGTAGACTGAGCTGAGCCGTGGGCCACTCCCAGTAGTCCCAGTACTCACCCACGTGGCTCGCAGTACATCTGCTCTCATTGAAACATTCCCACGATGGGCGGACTTCATCTTCGATGCAGTCATGCGTGAGTTCGTCTAACCAGTTAAAAATAATTGTAAAATGAGTAAGATTTTGTAGATTTCCAAGCAAGTAAGTACCTAGCCTAGATAGTCTTTTTTTAAAACCGTTGATTCACGTTAAGATTTTCTTCTGTGTCGTGGAGGCGTTTACAAGCATACAAGTTCATATACACATGACTCCCAGACCCGAAACAACAATTAACAATAATAAATAAGCACTATTTTTATGATAAAATGAAATATACCAGAATGAAATGTAATTAAATACGTGTGAGAGGCGGAGTGCGTGTGTTTGTTTACATAGAACGTTACGGTGTCGGTCGCCGCCCGGCACCCGGCACCCGGCACCCGGCCGACTGTTTACTACCTTTGATCTTGACACGGTGCGGTCGCGGCCGGGCCGCCGCCGGCAGCCCACGTGCAGGCCACGGCACACTTCCGTCCCTCAACATCCAGCACTCGCACGTAATTGTTACTTATTCGACACCTGTAAGTGTAACACGTAACATTGTTGAACAAACTAATGTTCTTGTAATTGTCAGAGCTCCCAGCCTCAGAGCACGACATAATACACCAGCGTTATTAGTGTTGGATTTAGGTAATTCAGATTTATAAGCGAGGCATGAAAGTATTTAATATGCTAACAAATTAAGTATTAGCTTTTAGTTTACCCTTTTCCACGAACAATTACATAAGTAAATATCTGAAATAACCCCTGACTTCTTTTTATAAGTTTTGTATTGAATTCCCTATAATAGAGAGTTAGCCTATAATCATATACTGGACTACACAGGGAACAAGGCTATATTTCGTTCTAGATCGAAAACCCCCTACCGTGCTTGGTGTCGAACTGCCTTCGGGTCATCCAGAGCCTGTGAGCAAGCGAGTGGTATGTAACGCGCTGATTAATGTCGTGTGGTGTGTGGTGTGTGGTGGCCCCGACCTTGTGCCTTGCGTTTCAAGAGCACGCGACGCGAGGCGCCTCTGGCCGCCGCGCACTCAATCACTCGATTACCGTAACTGTGTTACATTTAGATCTCTATCTCTGTGGGAATGAGTCCACTACTGCCGGGTACCGTGTCTTGTCTCTTTATATAAACATTTTGAAGATTTCCTTCTTTCATATAACTTTTGTGACACAGTGCGCACGTGTATGGGTTGTTGTAACCAATAACGAATAGATTACCGCAAGTACATTACCGCACGGCAGTTAAGTAGCCCAGTAACTACACATTATAAGTACCTATGCGTGTACTAATTACACTTTACTGTTACG